GTTGCCGTTTTTATTATGGTCTCGAAATGATGTATTTTATCTGAAAATAATTTTTCAATTATCGAAGGTTTGAGATACAGGATTGTTGTTGATCGATTTCACTTTTGAAACCTGCCAACTAATATTGATATTGGTTGGCAGGTTGGTCATAAAAATCAATCGGGTGTTTATTTTCATTCGAAAATAATTCCTCTGAGATAAAATTTGGCTAATGATTCTGTTGGAAAAATTCTGAAGTTAGTTCTGGGGTCTTGCCAGTATTGAGGAATTTGTTAGTGGAATATCCCAGTGTTGTTCTTGGAGGTATTTGACATGGGTTCAGGTTTTGACAATTGATTTGGAGGAATTTATTTGGATTGAAGACATTTTGGTTGATTGGGACGAATGGGTCTCGAAAAAAAGTTTGGATTTAAAAAATTGATGTTGGTATGATTGAAATGCGTTTTTAATTGATTTGATATTGCTCGCTGAGCAGTGGTGTTCGTTGGGACGTTGGTCATGTGAGTGTATTTGGTTATCTTAGGCGGTGGCATATAACTTTTCAAAATTGAATCATCAACGAATGTGCCAATTGCAACCTTATAACAATGTGAAATTTGACAAAGATTTTCTTCTTTACTCAGATGAGAATCATTACTAATTCTCTGTACCATGCTACTTCTAATTAGTTGCAACCCACTTCCGAAACTGAGTAAGTCTTCACCTTCATGAGGTCGACTCCTCGTTAGTTCCAGAACAAAACAATCTTTATTTTCATGGTCAGAAAAACACTGCCTCAGAGCATTTTTCAAACTCTCCCAAGTGTTGAGTTCTGGTCGATTTTCTACCATGTACTCTGCTTTACCAAACAATTTTTCCTGGATACATTCAGAGACATGTTCGTTCAGTTGAGACTTGAAAAGATCCCAGTTCATTTGAACATTTTGTTGCTGTAGTCGTTCCATTGTTGTTGTGGGTATTGGAAGTTCAGTATTACTTCCGCTAGGAAGTGAAGTTTTTCGAACTGAAAAATTACTTAGTCTCTTCAAAATATCGTCAACTTCCTTCATGAATCAATATTCCATTATTGATTCTATATTATTTTCATCGACTTCAGATTCGATTTTTTTAATTGCTTGAGAAAAATTCACAATAGTTATTTTTTCTCGAAATACTCGTCTAGAATATACACCAGTTTTGTTCGTAATGAACTGCTCTAAATTATTTTTACTGGAATACTTCTGCAGGGGGTAAGTAAAGGCAAAAAGGAAATTTGGCAAATACATTTATTTTGGTGGTCCATAATTATGTAGTATCCAGTTGCTCCTCCTCATATGATTCCTTGTAGCCTCCAGAAGTAGAATTGTCTCTCGGTCCGTCCGGAACAATCCTCAATAGATCACGTTTTCTTCAAATTTGTGCCTAAGCACTAAACACTCCAAGTAGCGAAAAGTACTTTTAACGCACTGTACAAATCCTACCGATTGTACCAGTTAAGTAAAATTTTCAAATATTCCAACTGGGACGCCCCTTGGGGGTGAAATCTGTTTCTGTTTGAAAAATGTTTTTCCGTTAATCAGCTGTCGTCCCCATACGAACAACAACTCTCAGAAGTTGAAAAACTTGTGCAAGCTAAGGACTAACGAGGTCTTACCTTTTAACATGTGATTCCTAACATGGTCGCGTTTACATATAAAAGTGAATTTTCGTCACTGTTTCTCGGAAGCTGAAATTTTGTTTGTAGATTCATTTCATATTGTAGGTGTGCAACAAGAAAGGATTTTTGAATTTTCCAACTGTGGCGCCTTCTGTGGATGAAAGGGGTGCGTTTATATGTGTAAATTAATTTTCATCACTTTTTCTCCGTACCGATATATTTTCGAAGGCTGAAATCTTGTATGTAGGTTAATTTTATGTTGTTGATGTGCAATAAGAAAAAATATTTTAATATTTCAACTAGGACACCATCTGTCGGGGAAAAGTCCGCGTTCATAAAATAAAGTAATCTTTTCATCACTGTTTCTCCATATCGGTATATTTTTCGAAACTGCAATTTCGTATGTATGTGGATATTATTTTTACGGACTTCCGGAAGGCATTTGATCAGGTGCATTATGACGTACTTCTAGAAAACCTTAGTGGCTAAGGATTTTCAAAAAAATTGCTTCAATTGATGAAGAATTATCTTCAAAAGCGTTATTTTACGGTTGAACATGATGAAAACACTTCAGGTAAATTTTAGACTAATTCTGGAGTTCCACAAGGTTCGAATCTAGGACCTCTCCTGTTTTTACTTTCAATTAATGATTTGCCTACAACTCTTGAATTTTCGGAGTGCTCACTTTCTACTGATAACTTAAAATTCTTCAAACATGTTCAAACTGTTCAAGACTGCATATATGTCTGCAGAGAGATATTGATAAAACCATTGATTGAAGTTTAAGGAATGAACTATATTCCAGTTTAAAATAAATGTTCTGTACTCTCAATCACCCATATTGAGGAGCCAATTCTGTTCGAATATGTAATGGAGAGGATCTCAGTGTTACTTATAATTCACAATTCATACAATGGATCAGTATATTGGAGTCTTTGAAGTGATAAACATACAAAACTTCCGATTTGAATAGTCCCAATGAATGTAAAATTGTACGAGGAGTAAGTAACAAGCAGCATCAGCAAGAATATTGATGAATTTAAAACCACTCTCCATAATATTGCTATTGAATTCGATTGTATAGTTTTAACCGAAACTAGAAAAATTAAAATATAGCAAAAATATATATTTTCAACTAGATTATTATAGAGAATATTATATAAAAACAGAATAAATACATTTCCGAGTTAAAAAATGAACACAATAGAGAAAGACTGCGTCCTAGCGGTACCGCTAATTTCACTAGTTCGGACTTCCATTGTCTACTATATGAAATGATTTGAAATCCCTGAAACAAGTAAAAAAGAATAATTAAAAAAGAATAGTTGAAAATAACAATTATATTAAGCAACAATAAACCTGAAATAAAATGATAGTGAAATAACCTACAAGTAAAAATATAATAATTGAATTACAGAAATGAAAAAAGAAAATAATAAAAATAAAAAAGTGTAGAGATTCCAAGTCACGTTAGTTCACGACGTTTCGATTGTTGGTATCTACAATCGTCTTCGGGTGATGACTCTCCTCTCGGAGGAATCAGTCCAGTCATCACCCGAAGACGATTGTAGATACCAACAATCGAAACGGCGTGAACTAACTTGACTTGGAATCTCTACACTTTTTAATTTTCTTTTTTCATTCCTGTAATTTTTATTTATTCAATTATTATATTTTTACTTGTAGGTTATTTCACTATCATTTTATTTCAGGTTTATTGTTGCTTAATATAATTGTTATTTTCAACTATTCTTTTTTAATTATTCTTTTTTACTTGTTTCAGGGATTTCAAATCATTTCATATAGTAGACAATGGAAGTCCGAACTAGTGAAATTCATTACGAAACATTGTCAATCACCTTCAAAGGTACCGCTAATTGTTGTGTTCGAAAGGATGAATCTTACATATCTATGACATACACCAGGTCAGGCACATCTGACTAATAAAATTTGACATTGTATTCGATATTAGTGTTATAAATCATGCCCGAAAGAAAATAACGCCGGCCGCCACTGGTAGCCATAAACCAGGCGTGACGTGGCTAAGGCGCGCCAATCGAATCGAGAAACAGCGAGGAAAATGTTACCGACTTCGACATAAATTCAGAGAAATTTCGACATTCGATTACGATGTTTAAAGGCTAGCCACGAGAATATCGTGACAGTCAAGTACACAGTCAAGTGGACGTTACAGTGTGGTACGCGAAGTGATCTAGTAAGGCGATAGACATTATAATAATAGTTGGAATTTTTAGTTGAAGTGTTTATTGTATTTGAAGTGAAATAAAGTTAAATTTGATTATTCAGTGTAACCCACCCACGGGGGAAAAACGTAACATTATGATTCAAGGTGTCCCAAACCTTCGCAGTTTAGAAACACATTTTCTTCGACGTTCATTTCATCTTCTTCAAATCAGACATTGTTATTGTCAGAACTTGACACAATACATTTTCAACATAGCTTCTTCAGAATCACTTTGTAAAACTTAGCGCTTCACTTTATTTCTTTGGGTTCTTTTCTACTTTCAGTTGCTCCTTTGACTATCTGCGTCTTTCTTCTGGAGTATCGGTGTCTTTGATGCTTTCTCCTAACTTTCTTGTTTTTTTTTTGTTAGTTCTAGGTTTGTCTTTCAGTGGTGCTCTGAATTGTTTCGGCGATACAGAATTACTGTTGCAATTGGATGGTCCAGCAACAGTATCATCGTGTGATATATTAACTGCGCCAATATTAGACTGGAGATCATCACTGGAGAAAATATCCCTATCAGAAGGGCATATTCCGGTTTTCTGGAAGGCTTTAGTTATATTGAAAATGGTTATTGATTTTGTAAAAGCTATTTTAATCATATCTTCAACATCGTATGTGGTACCTAGATATCCTGGATGACACACCAACGAGAATTCATAGCATTGCGGTAATAAATCTTAGGCGGACTGAAAACTCCCACACTCAAGGGCTGCATCCTTGCTCAAATATAAGGATGAGGTGTAAGGACAGTAACCCCAGATTTTCTGTCAAGTCAAGCGCCTCTATACTTTATACTGAATATCTCAATCTTATGTCATAGTCAGATTTCAGAACACCGTAAACATTTTCAGAACTTCCTTTCATTTTATACACGAAATACAAATTTGATGATTCTCGTTTTTTTTTCAAATAATTCCACTCATTTGAATATCTATCACTCTCAGTCACTTCTTCATTTTCTGCTGAGTATATAGTTTTAACAATTTCAACAATTCACAATTCCAAAACGAATAAATTTGTTACTGAGTTCACGTACGTGACTTGGTAAATAAGTAGTTCTAAGCGGTGATCAGAAAAAATGACATTTCCAATATTTTCGTGAGCAATAAATAATCGACCGATATGAAACCCCATTTATTCATAACCAATAATGGTAACATTCAAATACAATAGAGATATCAATTAAAAATTATAGCACGATCCTCAAAAAATTAACGTATCTTCTAAAACATGTATAAAATATATATAAATTTCATCTCATGGAAATAATTCATTATCAAACACAATATAACATTAGACTGAATATTTCGAAAATTGGCACATTCAAAACAAAATTAATTTATTTAAGTCTTTGTGTAACGTTTGCTAAAGCCACTGCAAATGCTTGAAGGGCCGAAAATGGATACTGAAAATCTAGAGTATAGGCATTTCCATCAATTCGACCAAACTGCATCACCTGAAAAGAAATGATAAGAACTATGAGAGGCGAACGAACTTCATATTCATAATACAAAGAGATTTGCAGACAATTCAAATGAAATTTGATCTGCATGGAACAGATTTGGTTTCAGTTTAACAAGTCTCCCAACCACAGAATATCAAACCACACGAAATATAATATTCTTTGATTACAATAGACAAAAAAAAAGCACTGCAATAAACCATTCAATGAATCCATTTCTGTCCGATCTGTTTATGAGTAGCACATCTGAAATGATACAAAAGGATTTGTTTTTATTGAAAATACTTCTCCTACACCAGAACAAACATACTGTTTTTCGACGCCTGTTTCGCTAACCAAAGTAGCATTATCAGGTGAAAGTTTTGGTGTAGAAAAAGCGTTTTCAATATATTCACTTCAGATCAGAGGTTTCAAATTGTACCTATCAAGAATGAGTCTCAAAAGTTTTGTCCGTTTCAATGTCCTGTGTGTCTGTATTCAGCTGATTACTATATGATGTCGTTAAGCGATTTTTGGACAATTTTCCTCCACGAATCCAAACTGAGCCAAAGCGCTGCCGATGATAGTGTTGATGAACGTACTGCTCGACGTTGGTTTGCAAAATTTCATTCCGGGTATTAAAGCGTCTAATATGAGCCTCGGAGTGGTCAAACTACAGTTATCCAGAACTAGGATTTAAGGTCCCTGACTATCCCAAACAGTGCGTGGAATGTCGAAAGAACTGGGTGTAAGATCAACAGAAGAGGTCCGATCCTGCTCCATGACAACACTTGTTCGTACATTTCACAAAACACCATTCAAAAATTGAACGAATTGAGCGTGTAAGTTCTGCCTCAGCCACCCACCTCCCCAGACCTCTCGCCAATCGACTACCATCTTTTCGAACACTTCGCCAATCAGGACTAGGCATGAACGGCTTTCGCCGACTTCATCGCACGAATTATTATGCTGACAGAATTAATCGACTTGTGTCGCTTATTTCATTTGAATTGAATGAGTATTTTTTGACAAATTATAGTTCAAAATAAACTCATGAAAACGGATAAAACTTTTGAAACAACCTATATTTTTTCCATGGAGTGAAATACGATATTTGAATAATGTAATCGCTATTTTCAAGGTTCAGGTATGTAAGGTTTATATTAATGGAATTGGAACGAATTGAAGTGCCAATCATTATTAGATGTATCACTTATTAGAAATATTCACAAGTGTTTTTACTTTGATGGAAAGAATATGACTACTATTTTAGATATTTCGATATTCCTCACTCTGTAAAACAAAAAAGAAGAAAACTCGAAGGTCCCATTAAAGGACCCGGAACAGAACTCGTTGTACCTACTTACTGATCACCGGACGGAACTCGTGTAGGCCCTTTCATACGAATCAAAATGCACTAATGGGAGTATGAATTTTGATTCTTAGAACCATCTGTTCGGAATGTTTTGTCTATATTATTTGAATGAATTAGTTTTGCCACAGTATATATATATTCATTAATATTGAGTTTCAATCTTGCTGATATTATTTTTATTGTTATAGGTCCATTGTCTAAGAACTTGTCAACCGATTTTAAATTTGTCACCCGAAGATGATTGCTGATATCAACAATCGAAACTTGAAGTACCTTGGTTTGAAATCTTTTCTTAATATTTTAATCATTCCTTTTCATTTTTGTTTGTCTGTATATTATTGGCAGTACATTCACTATTTATTGATACAGGTCAATTTCAAATTAAATTAATTTTTTTTCGCGAAGTAATGTTGACATAATTTTTTCATTTTGGGTACCATTTTGTCAGCTCTTTCGAATATTTTGACCCTCGATATTTTTTATTTCAAATCTCCAAACACTTTTTTTGACCTTATCTATCATATTATTGATATTTTCGACACATTCAATCAATCACAATTCCTCACACCGTTGGTTAAATATTCATTGGACTCCAATAATCAGCCCAAACATCATAACAGAGTGTTTTGGATAGATTTTAGATTATTATCATTATAATAATTATATTGGAAAGCTACACATCATCATACTGGAACGATAAAAATTTCAGGAATCAGTTTTAAGTTTTTTGTGATAGTTTTGGAAGTGTTATTCCATCAATGAAAACTATAATTTTTATTCGACAAAACATCAATATTAGAAAATTCCACAAACCTGCTTGCCTCGAAATTCGATTTGAAAATTTTTTGCCGATTCTTGAGTTACTCTCCCACCAAAATCTAGTTGATACACCTGATTATTTTCATTCCACATTGGTGCTTTATTGTGCATAACAAACTCTCTTCTCTGTTGAATCACTGAATTATTGCAACTGCTCCCATTTGGCTCTATTTTGCCTCTTTTGAGCTGAAAATAAAGAGTATAAACTCGTATTTCTAGAAAAAAACTTCATCTTCAAACAAAAAATCTGTAAAATTATCGAAAGAAAGAAGGGATGTATCAAGTTCAATAAACTCTCCACAAATATGTGTAGATGACGCATAGAAATTACTTTCGGATATAAAATGGAAGAAAAATTCCCTTCGAAACAATTACTTCCACTTTCGAAATAACTACTTCCGTATGAACATCGAATCATAAGATTATCCCTTTTTTCTATTCAGTTCATTTTTCAATTCATTTGTATGTATTCAAATGTATCTGAAAGCCTCAATTCTATTAGGTATATTAGGAACGATACAGTTTTTCTTTTATATATTTATGTACATTTAGCGACAATTATAATTTAATAATTTTATGATTAAATCAATATCGAAGTTATTTGGCAAGATATTCTACTCATAGTACTTCAGACAAAGTAGAACTTAAAATCAGAATCATCTGTAGCGCTGTATTTTATAGGGATGTGTATGTGATGTTTACAGTTGCGTGTGATATGTACCTACGTCTGTTCTACCACTATTCTCAAAGCGCTTGAGGCACTGCAACAAATGTTCCCAAAATATTGATTTGATTTTTATATTTAACACTCAAAGGTTAATTTTCTCACCAAAACATTCTTGAAAAACTTTTGCCTAAACTTCATTAGTCTCATTGAAGTTTATTTCAGTGAAAAATAATAGATACTATCTTTTTTAATCTATCCGTGAATAACAAAAATTGTAATTGACATGGTTAGAAATGATTAATTCAGAAAAAGTATCAATATCTGATTAATATGTAATTCTTCAAAGCTGAGATGAATGTAAGAGGAGTAGTTGACCCAATCACAACTGTTCCAAAGATGTGAGAATTTGTAAAGAATTATCCAGTTTTAATATCTCACTAAGTAATACAAAAACTGCTTCATTTGGCATGAATTGTTCTGACAAAAAATCTGTTCTGTTTAAAATCTGTTTTTCCGTTAATCATGTTAAAAATGTTGATATAAATCGTATTCTTCATGAAACTCATTAGTTCAGACTTCCATTGTCTAATATGAAATAAAATAACAGGGATTTCAAATAATTTCATATCCTGTTCGTCATGATAGGTGTCGGTCGCTTTTGATCAATCCGTTCTTTCAGAATCTGATATTCAGTTCGGTTGACCACCAAAGGTTGTTTTGCCATATCAAATATTTCTAACGAATAATGCTAATTCCTTAGCCCATTAGTCCCATTAGTCCATATTCAGCTAACATGAACAAACTTGATGGTTTGCCCACTAAAGAGCATGCTACATATAATTTGTCCGTATGAAAAACAAGGTTTGCTCAAATCCAAGACACAAACGGACATTGTTTGACCTTGATACTAATTAATAGTTATTCAAAAAGCCAATATAACTATAAATTGCACAAGTTTAAAATGAGTTGGCACATCTATAGAGACTCATAATATCAATTTATTTTCACTTCGTTCTCATACCTACTCCGTACTGGTAGGAGTAACTGTTCTATGATCAAGGCTATTAGAAAAGAGGGGGTTGGATATACACAAGAGTGAAAATTGAGAGTTATATGTATTTTTCAATGCTTATCATTTAGGGATATGAAAAATAGACTGAAACCTATTATCAGACATACCGAATATACATATAAGTAACTTACTTTTTGTCTTAGTTGTGATTTCTGGAAAGTTTCCAAATCTCTATAATTCATTCCATTGAAAATTTCATCTCCTGATGCATTAACTTCATCATCAGAACTTTCCTGGTTTTTGTTCTTCTTATTTCTTCTACCCAATAACGGTGAATTCAATAATCTTCTCCTTATAGGAGATGCAGACTGTGGCCTCATTCCTGAAACATAATTATTCAATAAAAAGTCACAATAAAATTTCTCGCAAATTATATCCAGAAATAAAACAAAATTATAATTGCGCGTAATTGTCAAACACTACTTCCACAATTGGAGAAAACAAAATCCGAATCATGGTAGAAATGAACTTGTAGTAACAAACGTTTCATCTGATGCTACGGAAAACATCTTCAGTGATGAATGCACAGGACGTGGTAGTGTCTCGAAGTCTTAGCAACAATTGAGTCAAAGCCTAAACCATTGAATATGTCTGCCGCCGAAGTAAATGAAAAGTTCGGTACTGGTACTATGAGATTATTTCGGCCACGCTCTAACAGCCCGGATTTTGTTATATCTAATCATGACGCTGGCCGTGAAAGCCTAGGTTCTAATACTGCTTCCAGAATTTCAACAATTGCCTTATGAACATTCAGTTAAACCTGGCCTCAGTATCGATCGCATTCCCTCGTCTAGAACTTTCTTTAGAATTTCAAGCAATTTTCACAATTATTTTGGGGGAACTATACATGTGAAAATCAAAAGATTTTGAAACTGAAAAGTTCTGTGAAAGACTAAGGCTATTGAAAAAAGTACGTTTCATGAATGGTCGCCCATCTAAATTTTGAGTCCCCAATACAGGGTCTTTTTAATAATTATAACAAAAGTTGTGGAAGTTTACTAAACTGAAAAGTTTTCGGAGTATTGGATGGATGCTTTGTAGCACGCTTGGCACCCAAACCTGCAGTTCTAGCGTGCTTGTGATTTTTATTGAAAAACATTTTTTTTATTATTTTGATTGCAAATTATGTTGCAAAACACAGGGCATTCGTCGAGTCCGACAGCCGAAACATGATACTCCAGCACAGTAACATTATTGCACAATATTCATCTTTTATCCAAAACGAATACTGTTTCTCAACACCATAATTGCAATACTCTTCTCGACATGCATTTCACCGACTAAGTAATCTTAATCTGAAGTCGCCAACTTGGTTCGTGAAACGCGCATCGAGATGAGTAGTGCAGTTCTGGTTTTGAGAAACAGTGCTCATTCGGATTTATTTCACAACATGGGTTTAATTTCTACTTTTAATTACCTAATATCCGATGGAATGTTTATAATTGCATAACACGATAGTCGATACGATAGTCGATAATTATCTTTTTCTTCAGTTCCACAATCTGAATATGTCAGTTAAAGGAACAAATAAGTAATTTCTGTAATAAAATTGTTTAAGGCTCCGATGATTTTCTGTCCTAAATCCCTGAGATAAATAATAATGTGCATGGAATGTCTAAAGCACCCAACGTATGTATTTCATACTTCAATATCAAACCAAAACGAGTTATCCCAACTATCAGTTCGAAAATTTGCAGTTTTCTCAAAACTAACAGTTGACGTTATGAGTCCTTCCACCTGGCAAAAACTAAGAAAAGAAAAAAACTGACAGGAACTTCAAAAAGTAAGAAAATACAGCCCTGAAAATATTTTACAAATCGATCGTACAAATGAAAAGCATAATTCCAGAAAACCAGTGAATTGGGAAAGTGACCTAAGTGACTCAGGAAACACAGCATTAAAAATTCACTGACTTTAGTAGAAAACATAAGGAACCAAACCACGCCACATAATTCAATTTCAGTTTCATTCGATGTAAAGAGTATGTTCTCCAACATACCGTATAAAGAGTGTAAACCCCTCATTTTAGACATATTAGATAAAACCAAAGTGGACCATATCACTTCCTTTGAAGTTTCAACAGCTTTCGATGTGTGCCTAAATCAGAGTTACCTACAGTTCAACAACAAATTCTATAAACAGGATTCAGGTTTACCAATGGGCTCACCCCTTAGTCCATTTTTAGCAGACATATTTATGAACAACTTGGAGACCAAGATAGTAAACTCCGACCTGGGTGAAAAATATATTCAGCTGAACCAATTGATGACATTCATGAACAATCTCAATAGCAACATTCAGTTCACACTCGAAACAGAGATAGAGAAACAAATAAATTTCTTAGACCTGGCGATTACACACAATCAGAATAAATTCGAGTTCAATGTTTTCAGAAAACCTAGCTATACAGACATCACCATCCCAAGCGATTCTTTCCATCCAGACAGTCATAAATTAGCAGCCTTCAATTCAATGCTGCACAGAGCATTCTCACTGCCTTTGTCTGCAGACAATCTAGCTAGGGAAATTGATACAATTACACAGATAGGCCATAATAACGGTTTCAACGCAGATACTATCCAGAAGTTAGTCAGGAAACAAAGCCGGAAATTCACTTGCAGATTGATATATCCTCAGGTCAAACAACCTGAAATCAAGAAATGGGTAACGCTAACTTTTTTTGGACTAAGAACAGAAATTATCGCAGGTTTCTTCAGAAAAAACAATGTGGAAGTAGCATTCAGACCACATGCCAGGTTATCTCATTTTCTTTTCAATGCTAAAGATAAGGTCGACAAGTTGGAAAAATCTGGAGTTTATAAGCTTAAGTGTCCGGAGTATAATAGTGTTTATGTGGGACAATGCGGATGAAATTTCCAAAAACGGTATGCTGAGCAGACTGGGAAAAAATGATTCGACGTTTTCAAATCATTCCTTGGCATGCAACCACAAGTTTCCGAATCTAAACGATACGGAAATTCTGCACTATGCAAGGAAGATACGTTACGTGAAACATACTTGAGTATAGTTGACATTGTGATTCTGAAACTTTGATTCAACTTTGTTCTCCATCTTCAATAACGAAACCCTAATTATTTTGAGAGTGAGTTTAGACAAATAACAAATAACCAAAAAAGCTTTATAACAACTTCAAAATATATGCTCCCACAGGAGCAGAATATCATTTCTCGAACTAAGCAGAAGCAGACAACAACAACAGGTTTATCATCGCTCCATCTGCCTGTGAACAAGGTAACCAACAAGGTATAATCGACAAGGAAATCATTATATTAGTGAAAAAACAACAACCTTTTAATTGACAAAATGAATTTATTAGACCTGTCAGAAATGTGAAAAAGTGAATTGTGTTTCTCCAATACAACAAGCACCAAAAGAAAACGTAATGAAATCAATGTATTCAAGTGTAGTTGCTAATAAATTTCCAAATGAATAAAAAACAATCAGCATACTCTTATAATCAAACCAAAGTTCGCACAATCCCTAATGGAAACAAGTATGGATTTGAATAAAATATAAATGTATAGGATTTAAAAATAAATGTAATAAAATTGGAACAACAAATAATGATGGATTGAAAATTATATGTAGAAATGAAGAACACTGTTCAAAACTAGAGACTGTAGTCAACAAGAGATTAGAAAATTAGTATGAAACTGATTTTTAAAAACTCATAAACCAGAAAAATTAGACAGTTGGAATGCTACTAGAAAAAAAGATTAATGAAGTAGAACTCAAAAATTTAATTGAAAAATCGAATTCAATTGTAGGTGAGGTTGATATATTTAGAATTCACCATATAAAATATTTGGAACATTTACCGTAGTCGCAGAGGTAAACGAGAATTTTTGAAAAAATATTTGCAGAACAACAGTGAATTGTTTGTTGCTTGGCAAAATTGTATGGTTTTTGAAATACAATCGTATTACTTAGTGTTTCAAGCACTCCAGATTCAATCATATCACCAGTAAATACAGAAAAAATCTCATATGCCCGCGCTGTGGAGGAAGTCATTCTGAGAATACATGAAAAATGAAGTGAAATGTATAAATTGTGAATATTCAAATTCAAAATATAATACACATTTTGGAACGGGACATACAGCATGAGACAAGACTTGCTTGCTACAATTTCGAAGGATTTTCGTCAGTATTCTCAAGTGGAAATCGGCGAGGTGGTAGTGTAGGTATTTTCATAAAGAAAAAATTTGAATATTAAATTCAAAAAAAGGAAAAAATCTACTGACATTCGTTGTTTGGAAATCAAGATACCGAACTGTATTTTGTGTGGCATATAAAATAACCAAAGCCTATAACTGAAAGTGAGAAGTGACGAACCACTAGGCCACCGTGTGCTGATTTCATTACTAATTTCAAATCAAAACCAAGTACTTTTCTCAATCATCAGCCAGATCTGCAATACTCTTCTCGACGCGCGTTTCACCACCAGAATTGGCGTCTTCAGGTGATGGAGAAATCTAATGTTATTTCTAGAGTGGATTTGTACACCGATGAAATAAATGACTGAGTAGTTCAAAGTGAAGTAATCAGGATAGTCTAACTATGCTCGATTGAAACTCTGATAACTATCGCTAGATTCAGAAACCTAACATATGGCATACCTCTAGATAAATGTAAATATAATATTGGAACCACCAAAACACAAGTGATTCTTACCTTTCTTGCTAGGTGCGGGAGAGGCAGGAGAACTTCTTGGTAATTTTGGAGAAGAACAAGGAGTTGACTTATTATCATCCTCTCTAAGCCTTGTGATGAGTTTTTCCAAATTTGCCAATGCTTGGGTATGAATCGCAACACCATTTTTCTCAGCGTTACTCGCGTTCTGCTGATTGGCATTCATTTTTTTCTGATTATTTCTGCTTCTTCCTTTATCATTGGCAGTGTTGTCGGGTTTTTTTCTCCTCAATAATGGAGAAGAGAAGAATTCTCTTCTAGTTTTCCTTTTGCTGTTCTTATTATTTTCTTCTTGTATCGTCGGTGAATTATTTTGAGAAACAGAGTTTTCGATTGTTTCTATTTCTGGAATGACTCTTTCTGTTCTTCTGAACGCATTAGCATTGGTATCGCTATTTGGGAAAATGTCACTAGAATCCAGACTCTTAGATTTCCCATAACTTTTCAGTTTAGGATTTATATCGCCATTTTTTGGAAGATGCTCTAATTGTTTTGAAGAGGATCGAGTTTGCCTTCGCGACTTAGCTTTCTTGTCTACCAATACTAAACGTTTCGGAATGTCTTTACGCAGCATCAATAATGAAGCATCGCTCGGGACGAGTTGAGCTTCCATGTTGTCTAAAAAACCTGTTAAAAAAATTAACTATTTAAAATACATCACAACTGAGACAACGAAAATTGCACAATATTATAATGTAACTCATAGTTTCATCAGTTAGGATATTAATAACTTCACAACATAGAATCTAGTGAACATTTTTCCCATTTGCAAAGAAACTAAAAAAAAATATTTCAATATTCAGAACTCTTCATAATATTCTATTTGCAGAAATAATTCTCTCAATCAATACACTACGTTGAGATGATGCACGAAGTTCTTTCCACCTATTTGTTTGCGTCAATTTGAGTTTTATTATGATTTCATGGGTTCAAAGTCCTTATGATTTCCACCATTACTATTCATGGCAATTTTTTACAGACCAAAGGACAGGAAGTTTATTCCACATAAACGCAGTTCTCCAGATGAAATAGTTCTCAAAAAGTTAAGTTGGAGGTGTACTGGGTGGAAACTCAAAACGATGAGCAGCAACAGTCCGTCGCGTATTTCTGATACGTGCCTCTCTTGGTGGAATCAAATGGGTCAAGTCACTTGAACACTTCCCGTAAAAATATCTATAGAAGAGAGACAAATCTCCAACCCTTCTTCGATGTTCCAGGCTGTCAAGGTTGCACGTGATGTTTGCGTCTCCAATCAGGCGAATGGCTCTTTTCTGAATGGAATCCAGCAACTTCAGGGTATGTTTGGGGGCAGAGTTCCATACATGAGAACAATACTCCAAAGGTCTGATCTGAGCTGTATAAATCATCAAAAGTTGCTAAGGTGTATACAGTTTTCTGGTTCGGAACAGTGTTTTAAGCTTTTGAGAAGAGGCCTTTGCAATTTCAGTGACATGATTGTGCCAAGACACATTGGTGTCCATTTTAACCTCCAACAGACTTATCGAAGCAGAAAGCGGAAAGCTGTCAGTTCCTTGGCATCACTATTTCGGATATTTCGAATCGCATAATTTTCAGATACCTAATTGACACTAAAACCGTCATCACAATAGCATCCATTTTTCTAAACTACACAAATATGCAATGCCATGTCCTCTTCTATCGTACGGAATGGGTCGCTGGGACCTCTCTGTCGGACGTATTCACTTGTAGCAATATTTTACTTTTCAAAACTCGGCAACCTGTATTTAGGATTGATTTTTCACATACAACCCTATACCACCGTGTTTGTAATGAAATAATATGTATTTTAACTTATCTTTAATTCATTAACCAGACCAGTGCAAGTTACTAGTATCGATTTACTTGTTTATACATGTCTACCCAAGAGTTGTGACGGGAGAAAATTAGTCAACCTAACGTTTGCATATTACATCAGCTTCATACTTTCGATTGGGATGGAATTTGTCTATCAACCAAACCAGTGAAATGTTAAAAAAGAATTAATTGTTAATTGATCATATTTTGGAGTGAAATTTTTTAGTCAACCCATTTGAAATATATTTATTAACATATTCAATTAGATATAAACTACTTTTCATCCATTAACCAGCTCCGTGAAAGTCGTTTTATACTGGGATCCCATACTAGCAAGTAATGCAAAAAAGTAACAGTCTTGTAGAAATCATCAAGCGGGCAGTCAGTCGAAAACTTTCTGTGAAGTAGGTACCTATAGAAGATTCCCTTCATCCGATATTCCAGATTCCAAAGAATAACCAAATGATGAAATCTTCTGCTGTGTACAACTTTCTAGTTCTAAATACTGTTTCAAGTTTCTGATGAGCTATCTGTAACAATTCAACATATCAGACACATTATACAGGGCGTTCATCAAACACCCTGTATAATATTATTCCTTAGACTATTCTAAGGATATTTTCTCCTCTGATGATTTCTGCTAGGGAGCTTTGTTTCGAAGATACGGGGTGAAACAAATTTGACAATAACAATTTTGGTAATTTTAAACGTGGCCTAAATAAAAGTATAGCGTACAATTCCCTACAATTCCGATTACTGTAAATGGTTACAGAAAATCAATTTGCTGGGTGTAACGCAATCGGAAACAATCCTGGTGTTTTTGAAAGAGTTCGGGAGTCGATGAGGAGAAGATTTAATTTTTGCATCTGAGCGAGTGGTAGTCATTTTCAACAATTCTTGTAGATTAATAAACATCACATGTAATTTTTGGTAATAAATTTTTATTGTCGAAATTCTTTTTCGCACGTATTTTCGAAACAAAGCGCCCTACCAAAAATCATCAGAGGGCAAAATATCCTTAGAATAGTCCGAGGAATAGTCCCTTGAATTTTTGCTGTATATTTAATAAACACCCTGTATAACCAAACAATAATATGTCGAATTCTGCTCCTTTTACCTTCCTAGAGACAGCTTATACTTGAGTTCTCTTAGCAAAGAATTAAATTTGGTTATTATTCAATGAGGCTGTGTTGAACAACTTGTTGCTGAAAGTACTAGGTATTCAAATGTTAATTCTACACGTATTAATTATGCACTATCTAATGAAAATAACATTTGTGAACCTAGAATTCACACAGGTATTCTATAATTCGTATGAACATTCAACATTTTGATCATCCAGAAGATCATATTTTTTTATATAAGTTTCGTTTATCCTAATCTTAGTTCGTTTTCAAGATATATAATGATTTTATTTTTTTTATTCGTCTGGTATTTCATCATAAAAATAGGATATGATATATTGAAAATTTTTTTGAGCAATTTTTTTATCAATTTCATGTTCTGCAGTTATTTTCATTTAATATCGAGTGGCATGTGTATTCAGATAAAGAAATTTTTTGTCAGCGAATATGATCATTGCTAGCTCGTAATCTACCATATGAAGCAGTAAAACATTATATTGGATATCTAGTCAATAAACTACATATGTACGATAGAAGAGGAGTGAGAGATATAGATTTCTTGGAAAACTAATGTTGATGTATTCAAGAGAAAATCATCAATGGCTACTTCCAATGAAGAATTTTTGAGGAATCTGGTGAGCAATAACCATAAGCAGAATTATCACATAAGAACTTTGTATTAACTATGAAAATTCGAGGTTCCATTTGGTTCCATACTAACCTACACTACAACTTCGAACCATCGATTCGATCATGAAGGTCGTTGGTGGAGGAAGTCTTCNTCAGGACATCAAATCTTCTGAGGTTCGAATTGATATGGGTGTCCCGCAGGGCTCTGTCTTAGGCCCGGTTCTCTTCATTTTATACATTAATGAAATAACGAAATCGTTTCCAAACGTAGGACTTACAATTTATGCTGATGATACCTCTTTACTTATATCTCACAAAAATCTCGATACCTTAAAAGAAACTTGTGAATCTACCTTAAAACAACTAGTTGCTTGGTTTAATGAAATTCGTCTGTATTTCAACGCTTTAAAAACAAATTTAATACTGTTCCACCCAAAAAAGAAGGAACATGAAAAATTAGATATATTCCTGAATAACACCCAGTTATCCGTCCATGAAGACTGTAAATTTTTCGGTATTTTCATTGATTCACGCTTGGACTGGAAAGAACACTGTCAGTTTTTGTGCTCTAAGCTCTCATGGATCTTCTATATGTTTAAAAATCTCAAACACGTATTGACTCCACAGCAACTGATAAATTTGTATTATGCACAAGTGAAAGGCCGGCTCAGGTATGGAACGTGTTTGTGGGGAGACTCTTCTCACTCGCAGAAAGTTTTTAATTTTTCAAAAAAAAATCATAAGATGTATAGCTGATGTCAAAAGTGACTATTCATGTCGTAATCTCTTAAAAAATGACATTTCCACCTGTACGGGTCTGTATGTGTTTGAAATTTGTGTATTCGTTTTCAAAAATAAGCATTCTTTTTTATGCAATGGAGACTTCCACTCTTATAACACCCATTGTAACAATGATCTGCGACTGCCACTGTCCAGGGTTGATGTTACATATAAAGCTCCAAGTAGAATCGGAGTGAAATTTTTCAATAAATTACCTGATACCCTCAAAGGTCTGGAACATGAGAATACATTCAAAAAATATTTAAAACTTTATTTAGTTGAAAAATGTTTATACTCCATGAATGAATACTTCCAAACAACTAACCAACCATGTACCTGATTAGTCATCTTATGTGTGATAATTTATATTCACTTATATTTGTATATACTAAATATATACTCTTTAGGATATCTAGTCAATAAACTACATATGTACGATAGAAGAGGAGTGAGAGATATAGATTTCTTGGAAAACTAATGTTGATGTATTCAAGAGAAAATCATCAATGGCTACTTCCAATGAAGAATTTTTGAGGAATCTGGTGAGCAATAACCATAAGCAGAATTATCACATAAGAACTTTGTATTAACTATGAAAATTCAAGGTTCCATTTGGTTCCATACTAACCTACACTACAACTTCGAACCATCGATTCGATCATGAAGGTCGTTGGTGGAGGAAGTCTTCGAGATGTAGACAGTCCTGAAGTAGAAGGATCTTCCCCGATGAAGCTCAATTCTTTAGTTTCATTAGAAACCGATTTCGTTTTCTTAATTTCTACCAAACTTTCTTCCATTTTCTTGTTGCAGATGGCTTTGGAGTGGTCACTATTGACCATGGTGGGCGTTGAATTTTCATGTTTTGAGTCAACTATATTAGACTTGACTTGTAAATTGGTTCCAGTATGGTAGTCACAGGCAGAATAGGAGACCAATGTAGAAGCCGGTGGTCGGTCAAAAATTATATCACTTGGAGCGACAGCATTCTTAGGTGATTGTAGCGAAGGTACAGATACCTGGAAAATTAAATGATGCATTGTAAATGTATCCGGGCTAGTGTGTAGTGATCGAATGAAACATGAACCTGGTACGTCAGGTTCCATTCGGCCTACTAGCGCTAATTTTGTTTTCTTTATTCGTGACTTCGGCCGTGAAAGCCCATGTTCTCCAATTGTGGGAACACATACAGTGTCATCCCCAGAGTATGCACCATATGGGAAACTTATTTATTAAGGGTTTTTCGACAAAAAGTTATTCTTGATAAAAGTTTGTGCATTTCCTAAAACTAAACATGCATCAATAAAATACATGTATTACATGTAATATACGAGGAGCCTTCAAATATTTGATTTTGAGACGGGAGTAAAGTCCTCTTATTTTGGAAAATCTCGGAAAATGTTATCTAAAAAAGTTGTTCAGCATCAAAAATACATCTATATTCGAAGTAATAGCCATCTAAGTGGAGTTTAATTTTTTACCAATTTTTTGACATCGGGACTACGAAAAAAAATTTGCTAAAACGATAAATAGACATCATCCTGTATACGACGTTTTATTTTAAGAGCCTGTGATATTACAAATTACATAACTATGGTGTTAACCACGGTCAATTTTTTTGAAGATTAAAATAATTTTCAAAGTTTTTGGTGCGGAGTTATTTTTATTTTTTGTTACCGAATGAACTGTTAGTTTTATTGAGGAACAAGCTCAAAAATAAATCTTCATCAGGGCCCGTCAGTCAGGCTTCGTCAGTTCGAACGAACGATTTTAACGATCTAGTAGACAGCATTGATTCCTTACGGCATTTTCTGTGACCTGAGTCGAGCTTTCGACTGTGTTGATCATGATATTCTCACATCGAAGTTATACAATTATGGTATTAGAGGTGTTTGTCCCAGTTAGATTGAGTCTTTCATTGAATACCGTTCACAGTTTGTCAGTTTGAAATATTTTAGTAAATCTTCTGAGATTCGAATTGATATGAGTGTATCGCAGGGCTATGTCTTAGGTCCGGTTCTCTTCATTTTATACAACAATGAAATAACGTTATCGTTTCCAAACGTGGGACTTATAATTTATGCCGATGATACCTCTTCACTTATGTCTCACAAAAATCTCGATACCTTAAAAGAAACTTGTGAATCTACCTTAAAACAACTAGTTGCTTGGTTTAATGAAATTCGTCTGTATTTCAACGCTTTAAAAACAAATTTAATACTGTTCCACCCAACAAAGAAGGAACATGAAAAATTAGGTATATTCCTGAATAACACCCAATTATCTGTCCATGAAGACTGTACATTTTTCGGTATTTTCATTGATTCACGCTTGGACTGGAAAGAACAGTTTTTGTGCTCTAAGCTCTCATGGATCTTCTATATGTTTATAAATCTCAAACACGTATTGACTCCACAGCAACTGATGAATTTGTATTATGCACAAGTGAAAGGCCGGCTCAGGTATGGAACGTGTTTGTGAGGAGACTCGCAGAAAGTTTTTAATTTTTCAAAAAAAAATCATAAGATGTATAGCTGATGTCAAAAGTGCCTATTCATGTCGTAATCTCTTAAAAAATTACATTTCCACTTGTACAGGTCTGTATGTGTTTGAAATTTGTGTATTCGTTTTCAAAAATAAGCATTCTTTTTTATGCAATGGAGACGTCCACTCTTATAACACCCATCGTAACAATGATCTGCGACTGCCACTGTCCAGGGTTGATGTTACATATAAAGCTCCAAGTAGAATCGGAGTGAAATTTTTCAATAAATTACCTGATATATGTGGACTATTAATTTTTTTGAAATACTTTTCGGACTTTTTCTAAGGGAAAATATATTTGGATTTTATTCAAAGTATATAAGCCGTTTTTTTTTAGCTGATATCACTGTTGATATATCGGAAACGGTAGGTCTTACAAGAACGGTTTAATGAAACAGAAGTGTCTTTTTTATAAATGCAACATAATGGTATTCTCAGATCGATAAAATCAACAACGGTTTTTGAGATATTTGCGAAAAACTGAAAATGACAGATTTTATTTTTTTGCTCTACCGCCTCCATTTTCAATAATATCAAGAAATGACAGAGAAACTTTTTGCTTCATTTCATGTTTTTCAAAATCTGGTATAACCCATTTTTCAATGCGACGTTCCGTTCATTGAAATCCATCATCAATCAACAATCAATCAACAGAGTTCTCCCATCGATGATGTCGTTCATTGAGATCCTAAATATATATATTCACTGCAATCCAAATAGATTTCCGTCAGGGTTGTCTTTAAAAAGAGAAACGACCATTCATAATTTCCAAATGTCTCTTGAAAATTTGTAACTACTCAAATGTCTGTTCATAAAATCAACAAGAATTAACTAATAAAAGTACTGTATCGAAAAAGCTATAGATGATATTCAGGAGCAACATAATAAAGGAAAATTAATTTTTTAGAAGTTAGCCATAAAATACATCAATATGAATGTCAAGTTAATAATCAAACACAAAACAGTTATTCGATTTGGTTAGCGATTTTGAAAGAAAAAAATTGATTTTTCCAATAACGAAAAAGTGGATATGCTTTTTGTTTATTCGAGATGTTTGAGAAATGCTACCAAATCGCTGGCAATGTATCAGGAATCGTATCCTGAACGATGACTACCTAATCATAGATATTTTCAACGTATCGGATATAATTTACGAAATTATTGATCCTTTGAAAAACCGTCAAAAAGAAAATGTGCGGTTACGGAATGTGGTTGCGATAATGAAATCGGCATTTTAGTTAAGATTAGGTGAGTTTTTAGATAATTTGCCACTTAGCATAATAAGAAAATATAAGCATTTCCAACACGACGCAGCTCCACTACATCGCAGGAGAATGTGGAGAGATTTTCTAGATTCAACTATGCCAGGAAGATGAATAGGAAATAATGGTCCTATTGAATTCCACTACGTTCACCGGACTATTGTCTTCTGGATTTTCCATTGTGTGGCATCATTAAAGATGAAGTACTCAGAACAAAATTTAAAAATATAGAGGATTTGAAATATCAGAGAACTGCCACAAGCACACTATTTCTAGAGACGGTAACTTATAAAACGTAACGTGAGGCATTCCGTTATGATGTACATTTTCTACGATTCATTAGTTCTGAGAACACATCTGGTGATCTGAGAACACCTTTATCTTGCATCTATAAAAAGGAAACGTTTGTTCCATTTACCCGTTCTTGCAGAACCTATCGTTTCCGAAATAGCAATAGTGGTATCAGTAAAAAAAACGGCCTATATTCATATACAATCCCATCGGCCAGCTAATATTCAAATGAAAAAAATTATGAAACTCACCAGATCGCTTCAACCCATTCTCTGGTAAGAGATGGGAGGAGCCTTTCTGCTTGTTGAGAACAGTTCCTCTAGAAGATACTATAGGCGCTATGGGTGGGCAGTCTTCTATAGGTACTCTTGCTAGTCCTGCTTTGTCTTCCAAGGCGGCCACTTCCTCTTCGTCTTCAGAAAACAAGTTCGGGTTGAAATTGGGATCAGGCAGTACAGGGAAGTCATCGCTCAGTTCTGTCATGACCAGAGTCATTTGACGGGGCTGAAGATGTAGAAGAGAAGTTTTGTACGTCACTTGTCCGAGATTGGCTGGCACTGAAGAAGCTAGGCCATGTATTTTGAACTTTGTGCCCCATATGTTTGATGTGACTTCCACCAAACGAATTTGCTGAAATCAAGTTCAAAGGCATATTCGTGGATCATGAGTCAGCAGTATCATGACACGTTTATATATTCAACGAAAATTGAACAGATAAAAAAGTATTGGGGTATGCACTCAAAGATCGTATTACTCCACATAAGGGCGACTGCTACATGAAGATGTGCCTTGAGTGAGCATGTTAATAAGACAGGACACCAGATTAACTTTGATAAAACTATAATTCTAAATATCACTGCGATGAGGTTGTTTCTCAATTAGACGAATGAGAAACATACTGTTTCCAATCATTCAAGTGAAATTCACTACTTTTTTTGTTATTAGATGAAAATTCTCATATCAAAAATAATTTTGCATCGATTATCACATAATTATGGTGTTTTATCAATTTCAGTAACGAAGCTTCTCATATAATTTTTACATCGAATACAAATATTTTTTCTAATTCAACATTGTTACCATATCCTTCAGTGATGATGATTGGCAACATTGGTTAATTAGCTATCAAAAATTTGTTCTCTTTCTGCTGTCCCTGTTTATGTGAACAAGATTGATAATTGTGATGGAATTGACCGACACTTGATGAAAAGTCCTTGTATTGAAGTACCTAACACTTTTTTGTGAGAGTTTCACAGAACTCTCTCAGAACTTTCTCAGGCGTGCTTAGTCATTCGGTTTTGTGAAACATGTGTTGCGGTTTTGTCAACTATTCAGTCAAAATCTCACAATATTTTTTAGTTTTATTTGAATTTATTGTTCCTTTTCTTCTTAATTAGTTTTTTTTCAGTTTTGAATAAATGTTTTTTTATCATAAATATGTATGTTATTTGGAAAAATAAAAAGTTATCACTATTATTTTAGGGAACAGAAGTATTATTTTGAAATGGTATGTTTCACAAAAATGTCTGTGACCATATCAAAGTCATTAAAGAAATAATAATAAATTTAATAATCCCAAGACAATTAACATTTTTATAAATGTCTTGTATCTTATCTACTTGACTGTTCTTATACAATATTATATTGTCGTGAAGAAATAAAATTGATGTGATTTGATTTGATAACATCAAAATAAAATAGGTATTTCTGAACAAACTCATTGATTTTCTGGAGATTTTCTTGTCCGAAATAATCCCCCAGAAAAATCTCCAGAAAATCAATGAGTTTGTTCCAAAATACTTATTTTATTTTGATGTTTTGTGATTTGATATTATTGAATATCAAATTCTTGTTACAATACTGTATAGTTTTGAGTAATTTTCGGTGTTAACAAAAATAAAAATAACTTTGCACCAAAAACTTTGAAAATTATTTCACTTTTCAAAGTAATTGACCGTGGTTAACACCATAGTTGTGTAATTCGTGATATTACAGGCTTTCAAAATAAACCGCCATATACAGGATGCTGTCTATTTATCGTTTTAGCACTTTTTTTTCTAGTCCCCATTTTGAAAAAATGAGTAAAAAAATTAAACTTCACCAAGATAGCGATGACTTCAAATCTAGATGTAATTTTCAATGCTGAACAACTTTTATAAATAACATTTCCCGAGATTTTTCAAAATAAGACTACTTTACTCTTGTCTCAAAATCAAATATTTGAAAGCTCCTCGTATATTACGTGTGTTTTATTGTATTTTGTTAGTGCATATTCAGTTTCAAGGATGCACAAACGTTTATCACGAATGACTTTCTGTCGAAAATCCCTTAATAAAGAAGTTTCCCATATGGTGCATAATTTGGGAATGACACTGTATATCATATCAATTCAAAATATTACACTTTCATATCACTCCAACACTACTTTCATTTCCAAATCATATCCTTACGCTAAAGAAAAGGATTGATCCTACATATATGCAAGTTTTATGCATCATTAGGAAATGTGTAATGGAAAAATATGAAGAAATGATCATTTCATACTAATATACTGAAAATGTGTAGAATGCATTTCTTAAAATGAACCAAATTGCATTTTCAGAAATCTATAAAGAATTCACATAAACCAAAAATTTGTATACGTTTAGCTTCAATCCATAGCAATTAAATTTATTATCAATTCTAGTGAATATTACAATATTACTGGAGATTTTTCCCAACACAAAACCGTTATTTTAACACCTCGACACGTGTTTCGATCACCAACTAATCATCTTCAACAGGAAGATTCAAACTGAGTTTAATCTTCCTTTTGAAGATGATCACTTGGTGATCAAAACACGTGTCAAGGTGTTAAAATAACGGTTTCGTCTTGAAATAAAAACTCCTGTAATATTCATTACTACGCTAAAGATTCCAAACAGTGCAGAAGTGTCTTCATCATACGTGGGTCACACTGTATATATTTTTCCAACAGACTTACCTCACAACAAAGCGGAGAAATGGCATGACGCTGGCTCCCCGCATTTTGACCACCGTTTTGGATGAACTGACCGATGAAACTGGTATTTTGTGAACTATTAGGACGCAAGTTCAGTTGTGCAGCAATATTTGTGCTACAGGAGGCTTGAGGACGGATATCGTTACTAACACTAAATAATTTACTTATTTCTACATGTGACTTGTTATCTTCGTAAGGCGATGACTTCGTGGGGGATGTATTCGAAGTTTCTGGAAATAACATAAAATATTCAGAACATAACAGAAATTATTCAAAAAAATTACATTCAGAAAGGTACTAACAGGAGATATTTCAACATATTTATGGCAGTTTCCAAAAGTATTTTCTAAAGAAGAAATTTCAATATCGCAATGTTGATGATTGAATATTATTTCATCATCCATCGTTTTCATATTGATATTTCAATATTTATAGTGACGTTCCACGCAGAATTCTTTGAAAAATGTAACACTTGAAAATAACTGTCATTCTTTTCTATCATATTCAATGATCTGTTTTCCTAATCACTCTTCAGATATACCATCTAGAGGAATGATATCACTTTGACAGTGAAAAATTGAGTTTTCCACAGTAGCTCACATATTTTTCAATACCCATAACATAGGAAAGTTAGTGAAAAAATATGCTCTAGCCCCTAAAAATTACTCGGGAGCTAAAACTCCTTTCAATCCCTCTTGGGAGTTCTGAATAACGGGTAAATGAGTTTGCGGTGGTTTCTAGGTTGTACTTCATATTCAAGAGCCTAAAAATTGTTGAAAGCTCACACTTGTTCCCGTTTTTTGCAATCAACTCAAAAGGTACGCCATCCTATAGAAAAGACCATTCCGGGTCTAAAAGCCTTTGAAACTACAAAATCTTTTTAGCCGTTCAGCCACAATCGTCCATCAAAGATAGGTAATTTTAACAAACTTCATTAAAAAAGTGACAGCTTCCAATAGTTGCGATGATTGACAAATATCGCAACTATTGGAAATTGAATTTCCTACTACTGAAGTTGTAGGAAATTCAATTCTGAATCAGAAACTCTTGAAATTCGCCTGCTCCAATGTTGAGATATGAATTTTAAATCAAAAAAGGTCATAGCGTATAATTTCCGCTTAAGCAGCCCAATGATGAAAACTCCGTCTGAACTCTTTTAACTTTCTATCATGTTTTTCAAGTACAACCATTTTAAATAATTCAGGGCAAATTATATCATCATATATTCATAACTGTATTCACTGAGTTACTGATTTTTTGGGAGTAGTAGATCATAACATGTCACATAATTAAGTTCGTTGCTCTTTTATAAAAATGAAGTGTGTCTAAACAGTGTGGAATTAGTTGAAACACCCAAAGAGCCTAGTGATGCCTTTTCATTTTCGCATTCCAGACAATCATCATTTGCCCAATGGCAATTCCGTAATGATGAAAAATTATTTGACGTTGGTATCAGGAGAAAATTTTGGAATGGTTTGATAATCATTTAGAAAACCGATAATGATCTACATTTTCCATATTATGCAAGAATATTTGAAATCTGAATGAATAGCCAGTAAGAAAGTTCTTGATAATATCATAGCAATCTCCTCATATGTCACACTCAATTTCACCACATTCTCCTTGCAGAGATCAGTATGTGGACTATTAATTTTTTTGAAATACTTTTCGGACTTTTTCTAAGGGAAAATATATTTGGATTTTATTCAAAGTATATAAGCCGTTTTTTTTAGCTGATATCACTGTTGATATATCGGAAACGGTAGGTCTTACAAGAACGGTTTAATGAAACAGAAGTGTCTTTTTTATAAATGCAACATAATGGTATTCTAAGATCGGTAAAATCAACAACGGTTTTTGAGATATTTGCGAAAAACTGAAAATGACAGATTTTATTTTTTTGCTCTACCGCCTTCATTTTCAATAATATCAAGAAATGACAGAGAAACTTTTTGCTTCATTTCATGT